AAGTAGGGTGGGGCAGTCTTAGGTCTACCAGGTGTTCTCTGTCAATGCTAACAATTATCAAAGATCTCCACTTTGTCCAAGTAATCAGAAGAAACATAGATAAGGGCTATTGGTGCTTCAAGTCATGTAAGAAAGATTGTATGAACGTCACCACAAAGTTGTAATAATGAGTGGGAAACTCTAAACTTTCTTTAAGCCCAGAGTTTCTGAATTGTGGCATATAATATGACGGATGCAACAGATGCAGCGTCTGTACTGACAGTAAATTTGTTAAAATAAATTTTTGCACTCACTTTATATTATGTGTCCTTAAGTATGTCTAGTATGTTAAATTAATTTTAAATTACATTTCAATTAATCATTTGATACAATGGATTTACTTAAATTTGAAAATACTGTCCAGTAATTACATCTGTAATTAATTTCTGTAGTTACATCTATACTGATAACCTCTGCCCCTTAAACCTTACCAAACCACCAAACCTGACCCTAACTTTAACCGTATCCCACCTCAATAGCAGCAAATGTGTTTTGCAATTCAACATGAACACAATAGGTACATAGTACTAATTTATTTGATCGTAACTATTATTTAGTATTAAAAGATACCTAATATAAAGTGGGGCCGAATTTTATTTTTTACATTTACAATAAAACTAACTAAAATACGATAGTACTGTACAATTATGATACAATATATATAAGATTCAATTTACAGCACCTTCATAAATTCAATAAAACATTAAAACAGCATAATTTTTCATCATTTTGTTGAAGCAGAGTTTAAAAATTTAGCTGATTTTTATTTTATTTTTTTGTAGAAAAGGTGCATCGTCCTCTTGCGCTGACCACAGTGACTTAAACACATCTGATGTTGTAATTACGACTTCCCAACTCATAAATACGAACTTCTCAGGACTTGAACATACCATATGTTTGGAATAGTATGCTAAACATACTGCATACTACTGTGTGCTATATGCAAACTTTAAGCATCCAGAAAGTCACATACTGTCAGAGTATGTACTGCTTATTAATATGTTCTATAAGGTGTGCATGTGTGTAGGAGGAATACAGTACATTTCACATATAATACTGTACATCAGTCATGTTGGTACTGTCATACCAAAGACATCAGCCATGACAAATGTTATGACTCCTTTCCTGTGGCCTCATGAGATAGTAAAGTATCCATCGGATGTGTACTTCAGACGCACACACAC